TGTTTTTCATGCATTCTTGTTTTAGACAGGGAACACAGATATCTTGTAATTTACTTCCTTTTGTAGATAGATATTTTAATTTTAATACAGATAACATAGCTATTCTAAAAATTTTATTTTATGATAAATTAGTCTTCTCTTAAGTAATTATTTGGAACAATTTTTGCAAAGTATTTCAAAAAATCATTTCTCCTTATACTAACAAGTGCAAATGGTACAAATAATTCTGGATATATAACTTACTATATATAATAAAAATACGAATGTTTTCTAATACATTTGGTTTCAATTCCTCCTTATATATATTTAATAGTTATGGAAAATTTTTATTGATTATTTTAAATTGAAGTTTAGTAAACTTAATTTGTAATATAATTATATTAATTATTTCTGTATCCAAAATTAAATTATATTGTTAATGGATATGAAATAATAAAAGTTTGGGAATCCAATATATCTACATTTTAAATAATTTTTGAATATTTACTTAATTTCCAATATTTGTAGATCACTTAAAAACCTTAAGATATTTTGTTAAATTCTTATAATACGTCAAATATTTTAATGTTAATAATTTTCTTACACTATCTTATGTTAAATTCAGGACTCTCAGAAGTTTAAAATTTCTTTAAAGATGTTCATTATAATATCCATTATAATCTCCTTCGTTGTTTTGATTACTATTTTAATTGACCTATTTTAGATAAATTTACAATTTCTTTTCTTTATTTTCCATCGATTTTTTAATTACAAACTGAAAAACTTTTGCAATATATCAAGAAAAAAAGTTAATAAAAAACATGTAAAATTTTGCCTTATAATTTTTCTTCTTACAAATATATCACGAAATAAGAGTTTTTCTACTCATTATTTTTATAAGAGGAATTTATCTAATTTAATAATGTCTTTAGTTTTAATAAAATTTTATTCATCTTCATAAAAATCTTTGAATATGTAAAAAATAATTATTTTCTATTAATATATCATTCTTCGTCAATTAAAATTTTAGTTAAATATATTAGTTAAAAATTAAACATATATTATGTTATAAAAAAAAAAAATGTTCTGAAAAAAAAAGCTTTTTCTTTGTTTTATTACATGTTATATATAATACTTTCAGATAGATTTTTAATTCATTTTTTTAAATATTTTTCATGGTTAACTAGTTTTTTATTTTACCAATTCAATTATTTAAAAATGTTAATAACAACATTTACTAACCATTAATAGATAACAATTTAATATTAAAAGTGAATAATTGAGAACTTCTCAAAATATCTATAATATAATGGAACAAAAAATGGATAAGTAGTAAAACTTTCATTAGGCAAAGGAAAGTTAATTAAGATAGCAAACGTAAATCAAGGGAAAAACTTAGACCTTTTTTTAGAATTCATTGATCATTACATATATCACAGTAAAAATTTCTCAGTATTTACATTTTAATATGTTTTATCATTATAAAACTTACTAATTTTATCTTAATAAAAGAACATTTTCATATATTGGAGTAAAATAAGCAGAATTGTAATAAATAATTTTCTAAATTTATAAAACTTTAATATTAAAATATATTTTATAATATTTTCTAAAATTGAACTGTTTAAAAAAACACTACTGGATTAAAAATAATGTAGCTTGGATTAAAGATTTCAAAAGATAAAAAAAATAAACGTACTTTTTAACATGTATCTTATGTAGAGAGAAACGCATAATATGGAAAGGAAATACAAGAAAGTTTTGGAATAATAAGATTTATGTAATTTCATTTTTTTTAGCTTTTCTTATTGGTTTACAAATTAATACATAATATTATATACCATTTTTACAATTATTATGGGGAAAATTTTAATGGTAAAATATTATTTAATATGATACAATATTCTATATTTAATTGTTATGCCCATAAATGGAATATACGTTTCCATAGTAAAAATATATTTATTTTATACTTCATAAACTTATTTTACTATAATATATTTATTTATGTATTTAAATAAACTAAAAATAAAAATTACTTAAAATTATTTATTTATATAACATAAAAAAATAGTATAATTTAATTAAAAACAGATAATTTAATGAATATTGTCGTATAAATTGTATTCATATTAAAGTAAGAATAAAAGGTTTACATTTTAGAATAGTTATAATTGATAATTACAAGATAAATTCTCAATACAAAACATCAAGAAAAATATATATATTTTTACATTTTCCTTTAAAATAAAAACATAAACTGTTAATAGAACAAAAATTTAGTTAATTCATCATATTTATATATAAATTATATTATTTATTTGAACATTTCTCATTTTCTATTTAATTCTAAATATTTTTTAAAACATTAAAAAGCAAAAAATTTCAATTTTATCATATTGGGAAAAATATACGAAATATTATTAAAGTATAAATTATATAATTTCTTTCTGTTTTAAAAATTCAATATAATTAAGCATTAAAAAAGCTTCCTTCTAAATTATTGAAAATTTTCTAAAAATAGCCGATTATATTTATATATTTTTTAATATATATAATCAATAATTAATAAAATAGTAATTTTTAATTTTAATTTATTGATAATATCAAAATTATACTTCAAAAAAAAAAAAAATTCATGAAAAAATGAATATTATCTTCACATTATACATGTTTTAATTAACACACTTTTTTATTTGTTTCATATTATTAAAATTTTGATTTAATTTAAAAATATTTAATTATGTTTCTTTTAATTATATTTTTTAAATTAATTATTTAAATGAAATAAAAGTATTTTCTTCTTAGTATCAATTAAATTTTATTTATAAATAAATTTAAGAAAAAAACAATTTTATGTTTGCAAAGGTATTGTATACATTTAGATAAGTACTCTTTAAATGTATTGAAAATTTTCAGAATAATTTTATTATAAAAATAAGTAAAAATTTTGATAACTAAATTATTTAATGGAATTAAAAGGTGACTGATTAATTGCTCTCTAAAAAAAAAAGCAAAGAAGATTATCTTTTCATTTATCATATATTATTTAAATTTAAATAAATAATGAAGATAATAAATTTTATAATGGTAGTATCTATTTGTTTATATTATTTGATATTCATTTTTTTGAAAAATAAATGTATTAACTTATAAGAAATGTTAAATTTTACTTAAAAATTTTAAATATAATTAAAGTAATACTTTGTATATGCACTTAAATTTGTTGTAATTCTTCCTAAAACGAAAATCGAAATTAAGAAAAAATCAAAATATAATAATATGAGAAACTGCACTACAATAAACTCATTAATTTTTTATAAAATTAATATTCTTTACAACCATCATTATTTTTCCTTTTATAATTTTTAGAAAAATCGTTTTAATGAAATAATTTAATAAAGATATTAAAAATCACATGCAAAATAGACATGGAAGCGCAATAGAAAAAAAAAATAAATAAATAAAATTCGTGTATGTATGTATTTAAAAAAAAATGAGTCCACAAATATTAAATATAAATAAAAATATATTAAATAATAAAGATGATATATATGATTAAAATTAATTTAAAAAATAATCTAGTATATATCTTGTTATTTTTAGAATAATATAAAATTATTATAATCGCATCATATAGTTTTATCAATAAATTTAAAAAAATATGTTAAATTTTATTTATTATAAATATTATAATAATAAATTATTTTATATTTCTTATAAATTAAATTAAAATTTAATTTTTATAAATTTAAAAATTTTTTAAAAAATTACAAAGATTAATTGTTAATCAAAATAGAATAAAATTTGTATATAAATATTTTTTTTTACAATAATTTGTTACTATAATGAAAAAAATATTCAATGCAATTTTAATATCTTTATAAGATATCTCTTATGTGTCTACGTTAGATATCCTTTATATTATAAATTCTTTTTGTTTTAATATCTTTAAGAATTACAATTATTCTTTTTTAATATATTATTTAATCTAAATATATTTTATATATCTTGTTCTGTTATTATTTTTTCAATCTAATTTATTAATAAATCTGTATTAAAAAATGTTAACTAAAAAATTATATTTTAGTCAAATTATTAAATTTTTTTTAACATAAAATGTTAAAAATGAAAATAGATATTTGTTGTAAATATTATAAGGTAGCATAATTGAATTAATATTGTAAGATATAAAAAGATACGTTCGAATAAATAAATACAAATAAAAAAAAATGTAAATAAAACTTGTGAAAAACAATAAAATGAAGTATGTTAATATAAAATATGATTTTTTAGAATGTTATTTTAAATTACTTTTTTTTTTTTTAATTACATCTTAGTATCTTTAATATATTTAAATTCAAAATTATACATTTATCTAGTATTAGAAGATATTTCCTTCATGTTCATTAAGATTATTTAAGTGTATTATAAAAAGAATAATTAAAACTTCACATGAATATATATATATGTATTTAAGTATTTCAAATTTCTTATTTTTATGCATAGTTTTTTTCATAAAATACATTCATTAACTTTTATATATTTGTATGTTTATATGCAAAAATTTTGATTTCTATATTTTTTTTGATATAAAGTAGAAGCTAAAATTAAAATTGTTTCAATAAAAGCTACAGCTTTTGTGGGTATAATAGGATATTAATTAAAGGAATTAAATCCTTTTATAGGTTACAAAATGTTTAAAAAATAATTATATATGAAATACATAATTAATTATTGGAATTATTAAAAGTCTTAGAATTTAGTTTATAATTTTAATTTTTAAGTGTCACATATTAATTTGAATGTAGATAAAATTTATATTAAAGAATTTTTTAATAATTTTTTTTTTTATATTTTATTATGTTCCTCCTTATAATTGAATATATATTTATATTTTATTTTTTTTAAGTTTGAAGCATTAATTTTTCTTAAGAAGAAATATCTTAAATAGGGTAGAAATAAAATTAGAATATATAATTATTAAAAAACTTGTTTTAAATTCTTATAATAAAAATAAAATGAAATCTCATAAAGTGAAAACTAATAATTTAGAAAAAGGACCTTTAGTTACTAGCTATGTGCGCACAAACGAATTAAGCTATAATTTTTTTGGATATATGGATATTGCAACTGAAAAGAGAAGCTCTATAAAGCGTATGTTTTCAGGAACTTTTATTATATCATTAATTATTTTTTTTTACATATTTCTACAAGTAACGTAAAAAAATAAGAATATATATATTTTTTATATTTAATTCATATATTTATTAAAGTTTTATTTTATTAATATATAATTGGTTCTACAGATATTTTTTTTTTTAATTATTTTATAGTATGAACATGAATTATTAAGAAATGATATTAAAAAACAATATTACAATGAATATCACTCGAGAATATTTGCAGAAAAAAAAGGATTTTTTAAAAAAAAAAAAAAAGAAGTATCTTATTATCTTGAAAAAAAAATTTTTGAAGATGAACTTAACGGATATTATGAAAATAAGAGAATCATTATGTTGGGTATGTTTTTTAGTATGAAAGAAGAACTACTACATTCTCCTCAATTAGATAGAATTCCTGATTTTATAAAACACGAAATATGGGACGTGTGGTCTTACTTTTCACATATATTTATATCTCAGTTGGAATTAAAAGAACAGGAAGATATTAGAAATATAGAAGAAAACGGTTACTTGCATACGGAAACTGTAAATCTGTGTAAGGAAATGACTGAGAAATGGTTTAATATGCGCTTAAAATTAACGAATATATATGTTCGATTCTTACATTATTCATTCATGATATGGAAATATGATAAATCACGAGCACATGTTTCAGTTACATCTAAAGGAAGAGTAAAACTATTACATGATGGAATATTAGGAATGCCAGGTATGGAACTAATTAGGTTACCTGATGGAAATCTAAGAATACAAGAAAGAGAATCAGAAAGTTCTTCTGATTCATCAGAAAGAGTAACAAGAAAACCTGTTCAAGAATCATTAGATGCACTAAAAAATTCATTGGAAATTCCACGAATCCAGGATCAAAATTTAGAAGAAGAAGAAGAACCTATAGAAGAAAATAGAAGTACAAGATGTTCATGCTTCGGAAACTTATTTAGAAGGTGTAAATAGATAGTGGACTAGGAAAAAATAGATAATAAAAAAATTTAAGTTTTTCTAAAATTAGTATTTTTATTTATTTTTAAATGCATAGATATGGAGTGAAATAAAAAGTTCTCAAAGTCATTTAAAATATGGGTAATATTATTGGTAGTTAGTAAAAGGAATTAATTTCCTTTTTAGAATTTTATCTAATAAAATCATATAAATTAACTATATGTAAGGTTAAGAAAAAATATCTAAGATCTTTTTGAATTTTAATACGATGAAAAAGATTACATATAAGAGTTGCTAGTGCATGCAAGATATTTGAAATATGTTTTTAAAGAGTTACAATTAATATTATATTGTATATGAAGATAACCATAAAGATGTGTATCTTTTATGACATATTTAGAGACATTTCTACAAAGATATCCACAATAATAAAAAAAAAAGTTTTAACCTTTTTAATAATTAAAAAAAGTAGTTTTTTTAAGAAAAATTATGATCAATTTTTATATTATAATTTTTTTTTTAAATGATTTTAGTTTATAAGAAAAGGTAGTTAGTAATAAAAATATATAAAAATGTTTTTAAAAATATAAGAAAAAAATAGATTTGATTATTTTGCACTATATAGATAATTGTAAAAAGAATTTATAATTATCTATAGTAAGTGGCTTATGATAAATAATTTAGTATACATTTTTCTACATGTTCCCTAAATTGACTATTTAAAATATGATAAAATCTTTTAAACATTCAGTTAAAATAAATCACATAAATAAATTATAATTAGTGTTATGTTTAAAATACAATATATGGATTCTTTCCTTTATGAAGATATTTTCATGAGATTTGTTATTATAATCTAAATAAAAATGTGATTGATATTTTTAAATATTTAAGCTAAGTAGGATAAAGATAAACAAGTTTAGTTAAAAATGCAAAATATTTATGGAAATTCATAACTGTCCAATTAAAAAGGACTCACTAAAAAAAAATTTCATGCGAAAAAAAGAAAAAAATTTTTATTTTTTAAATTATATTTTTTAGTATGAAGTTATTTCAAATATATTTATATATTAAAGGAGTAACAATAATTATTTCTATTGAGGAATTTATTTAAGAATAATTAGTGACAAATATAAAATTTTATTATATAAGAGAATTAATTTTTTTTTCTATGAAATATAATATATATAAATATTATTTTATATTTATAAATATTAGTTATTTAAGTTTAAATGTAAATGATTAAAAATTTTCATTAAGCTCAATGAAAATTTTAAAACTTAGTTAAAATATTAAGTATAATAAAATATGAAATAATTATAAATTTAATTAAAGGATTGTAAATTTCACATGAAATAAGTTGTTTATTTCATGTAATGTAATATAATTATTTAGGTATTATATATTATCTACAATAAATATTTTTAACAGTAAATATAACTTATAGAAATAACTTTATATAATCTTTATTAATTTAATTGTTCTTTACGTTACAATAAGTCTATGATCAATTAATTAATAAATCACGTGGTAATTCTATATTACTTTTCCTTATTCAAATAAAAATTTTACAGTATATAAATTCATGGAGTTAATATTATTTTCTACTTGGCTTATGAAATTTTGAATTCTATACTTTTATGATAAACCAAACAGTTAAATTTAGTTGTAAGATATATAACATATTAATGAATCCTTTTTTGTAGAGAGTGCATATTAAAGATTTATTAAAATAAAATTTCCATTAAGTCCAAACATTATAGTTTTGTATTTTTATTTCTTATAACATAAAAATAATAATCAACTAAATAAATTAAGTACTAGAACGTTTAACAAAAAAAAAAAATTTCTTTTCCCTTAAAATTATTCTGACGAACTTTTCATAAGTGTACTATATATTTTTTTTTTTAATATAACCCCTAAGAGAATGTTATATGGAAACTTAGTTAAGAGATTTTTAAATAATTATTTAATTCATTATAATAGGAAATATGTAAAATTATGTTTTATTTTGTACTTAATAATTTTTTTTCAAAATAATGAGAAAAATTAATAAACCTTTTTATAATTTCTATTGAATACTGAACTTCATTTTAAAAATATATAACTTCATATGTTTTTCTTATAATAAAATATGTAATATAAAATGAGTTTTCATAATATAGGTCACTCAGTGAAAAATTTAGATATAATATTAAACATTAAAAATAATGTTTATTTTTTTTTAAAGTGTTGTTATTATTTGGGATATGCAAAAATTTTCTATTAATATTTTTTTCATTTACTCTCTTCATTGCTTTTGAATATTTAAATATGCTACCCTTTCATTAGTAAATTTATTTCATACAACTCTATATTTTCACACAAATATTACAATTAATCTTGAATAACATATGCATGTATATGTATATATATGTAAAAGTTTAATAAATAAAATTAAACACTAAAAAATAACGAAAAATATTTAATTTCTCATATTTTGAAGGATAAATGTTAATGATAACATTGCAAAAAAAAAGATGAAATTAAATTTATATAAAATATATAAGTATTTTTGATGTTTTTTTTGCAATGTGAAATAAAAAATAATAGATAAATTCATTATTATGAATTTTAAAAATAGGGTTTTATTTTCTTTTACAACAAGTAAGTTTTAATTTGATTTATTGATTGTTTTTTTCATTTTTTGTATTATAGGAATTATAAATGAATTAAAAATAATACGTTTTTTATTTATAATAATTTTCTAAATTATTACGTAGATTATTGTACACATAAATGATTATCATATTATATATTAAAAAAGAAAAATTGAAACATTGTTAATTTAAAATTAATTAGATTTAAAAGTAAGAATTATACTGAATATATACATATTGTAGTATATAAATACTTATATTTTAGTAATATATATTTAGCTATGATTATAGCAATAATCATCCATAACGCAATTAAAATCTACTTATAATGATTTACAATATAAAAATTATGCTCAATTTAATTTTATAATTTATTTAAAGTTCATTTAAACATAATTCATTATTATTTATCTACTTTTTTATTATTTATGATTATATTAGCATACTTATTTATATAAAGAAAATATTTTTAAATTCAATTTTATGTGATTAATAATACTTAGTTGACATTTTAAACCTTACTACAATTTATAATAGTTAAAGGTTAATAAGGCTCTATAATTTTATTTTTATTGCTTCAATTAACCGTATATAAATTTTAAGTAATTATTTTTTCTTTCTTTTTTATTTTTTTTGATTCGTTTTTTTTTTCATTGTTATATCTTTATTTTTTTATTTCTAAGTAAATGCTACAAGGGCTAAAGTATTTATTTTATATTTTTCTTTATTTTATAATTTAATTAGTTACCACTTCTGTTGTATCACCTATTTTTAATTGTAATAATAATAAACACATGTAGCACTATACATTATGGAACTCATATTTTAACTTTTTCCTTTTTATTGAAGTTTTTTTTTTATTGTAAAATAATTTAATTCAATAAAAATACTTTTTTTTTTAATAAATAGTTAGATTTTTATAATTTTGTCTACAACATATTACTCCATCTAAAAAAAAATTATTATCATGTAAAGAAATTACCTTATTGAAAAAAGAATATAAATCGTTTGATAATTAATTACATATTATCTTTAATTTATTCTTACATATATTTGTCATTTTAATTATGGCATTTAATTTTATTGTGTTTATCACAATCTCTTAGACTAATGCATAGAACACTCCACTTTTCTTTTTATTTATTTTTTTAAAATTTTTTTTTTTTATTAATTCTCCAAAAGTAATCTTTCCATAATAATTTTAATTATATAATTATTTATTTAAAAAAAAAATAGACATTCTCAATTTGTTTATTTTTAATTATTAGTATTACAAGTTTTTAGTTATATAAATAATATCATGTATATTACTATTAAGATACAACTGGTGTTTACTGTGAAACTCCATTAATTTACATCAAAAACACAAAATTAGAATTATTTAATTATAGCTTAACATATATATTAAGAAACAACAGAATATTTACAATCATATCTAAAGAATGAATTGGATACATTATTGAAAATTCTATAGAAAAAAGAAAAAGAAATAATATGTAAATGATGAAAGTATTACTATAATTTTTTAGGGTTTAATAATTCGTGAATCTATGTAAGATAAAAAAATCATTTAATAATTTTTTATGTTAGTTAATTAAATAACTAGATATATAAATAGAACTCAATGTTGCAAAAACGTAATTTTTTTTAAAGTCTTTTTCTTATTGATTTATTTCATCAGAGAAAAAAATAATGAACATAATTTTTTTTTTATTTCTTAGAATGTAATTAATGAATCTAGAAATAAATTTTTTTATAATGTAAAAAATAAAAACATTAACTCTTAATATTTTTATGTATTAGATATTTTAATATATATTTTTATTTTTTTTCTGAATTACGCTGATGTAGTATTAGAGAATATTCATAAATATGATACTTAAGTAATAACTAAAATTAACATTTATATTAAATGAAAAAGGATAACATATGTAATTGGTTAATAAATTGTATTATAAACCTATTTTTAATTTCACTGAGAATAAACATAATGTATATAATATTTTAATAATGCATAAGAGGTTTGTAAATAAAATGAGAATATTAAAAATACTTACATTAAATTTTATGTTTTTATATATGAAGTATAATTTTTTTTGTTTTAAGAAACAATGTACATTTTTTTTTTGAGGAAACTTTTTCTTTTTGTTGGTTTTATTCATAACATATAATGTGACATAAAAACAAACCTCATAATTCCATGTAGAATGCCAGTTATGTAGTATATATGTTAACTTAGGTTTAAAATAAATGATAAAGTTGATATTAAGAGATTAATTATTAAATGTTAGATAAATATAATAAAAATTTATTTTTAAAATAGAAAATAATTTTTTTGTTAAATTAGATAGTTGATTAATAAAAGGATTTATTAAC